CAAGTGTCACCCCAAGTGAAGAAATTTTGGACAAAAGATTTAGTGACCATCCTAGACTGCCTTGTAATCTAAGTAAAGTTCTCCAAAGCTGTCAGAGAGTCCCTGAAAAAAATTCACTGTATTGAGGAGTCCAGCCTCCAAGGATCTTAGGATTCTTATTGTGTTGACCGGGAGCAATCATGGTAAGACTGGCCTTTACACAAATCTGGTGGTAGATTTTAGAACACAGCAGCAGGAGTCTTTGGTCAATTATGCTCCCTCGAGTCAATTAATTGTGAAGCAGGAAACTATCTTGTCAATTTGGGTTTATCTGATATTCCCTCATGATTAGATTTGATTGTCTATTTTTTGGAAGTAATAATGGTGAAGCGACATCCTATCAGGAGGCCTAAAATGTTGGTTTGTTCTATTATCAGTGAAATGAACATCTTGGCTGAGAGTATTAACTGAATTTCTCCATTATAGACCTCCTCTGTTTTCTTTTATACTTAATAATACTTTATGGAGAGACATTTTCAACTGTGTAGAATCCATCCTATTTCTCAGGAACTTTAAACCAATAAGCCATATCTGCAGTCTTCTGGGTTGGGAGGACGACAAATAATTTTTTTTTCATCTCCTGAGTTTTCTGTAACAAATTCCCTGACAACCTATTATGGTATCTTACAACAGCAAAAAACAAAACAAAACAAAAAAACAAACCAAAATGAAGGCACTGGGTTTTTGATATCATGTCTGCTGAGAACTTTAACAACACAGAGCTGAGACTGCTATCTTTGGAGAGGCCTGCTTGCAAGGCTCATTCTTGATCAGTATCTGGATACTTGGATTGCTCTGAAGGATTCCTAATATTCACTAAGAGTAGCTCACAGTGCCTAAACTCTGTGCAATGTGGTTTATGCTGAATATCTATTTTCCTTCTGAGAGTCTCTAATTTTGGTATATGCCAGGCAGAGAATGCCTAAGTGACCAGCCCCCCAATAAAAAATCTAGGGCCCCGAATCTCTAGTGCATCTCTGGTGACAGTTACATATTATCACAATTTAGTGCTCAAGAAACCTAGTACACTGTGATTCCATAAGGAGAGAACTCTTAGAAACTCACACCTGATATCCTCCAGATTTCATCCTACCTACCTCTCCTCTTTGCTCTTTTGCTTTGTATCCTTTCAGTGTAACAAATCAGTTGTGAGCACTCCTAGTGTCTCGGGGGTACTCATAGGGAATGAAAGCACATGGAAGTAGCCTTAGGAACCCCCAACATACCACACAAATTGAGACAACACAGGCCTTAGTAAATACTTAGCATCCTATGAATGTGTGGTCCAGAAAATCAATTGTGGGAACCTCTCTTGACTTGATATTACTTGCTGAGTAAAGCCCTTTCATCGACTACAATGAAAAAGTCACCATTGTGGGGCGCCTGGGTGGCTCAGTGGGTTAAGCCGCTGCCTTCAGCTCAGGTCATGATCTCAGGTTCCTGGGATCGAGTCCCGCATCGGGCTATCTGCTCAGCAGGGAGCCTGCTTCCCTCTCTCTCTCTCTCTCTCTACCTGCCTCTCTGTCTAGTTGTGATCTCTCTCTCTCTGTCAAATAAATAAATAAATAAATCTTTAAAAAAAAAAAAAAGTCACCATTGTGTCTGACTATGGAATAGCATCCAAACCGGCTCTTCATCTTTATTGGTTCCACATCCAGAGGGTCAGCTTCTATTATTTTATGTTCTTTCTTCATGCACACCTTTTAAAAAAGGACTCTTTTGTTGTTGCTGTTAATGCCCCCACAACGTATGTTCATTTTGCTTTAGCTCCAGGATCTGCCCACTCCCTGTTATGGATTTATACTTCAAGCGGAGCATGCATTTATTACAAAGATACAACTGCTAAAACTCATGAAGTTATTTGTCTATGTAAAACAGTCAGAGAAGCTCTTGGCTTTGAAATTGGCTTCCAGAGCCCATTCTTTAATTTTGATCTTATGTACGCCATATGACAATATAGAACACTCATAATGGCTTAATTTAAAGGGATAATTACCTGGTACATTCCTAAAATCTATTACAGTAATTTACTGCTTTGATAATATTCCATATTCAATGAAAAATTGAAACATAAATGGAAAGATAACAGGGATGGAGGATAGAGGTATTTTTAAAAAATGGGAAAAGACCACAAAATAAATGCTCCTTGCCAAGGAAAACCACCATGGAACAGCATCCCTTTATACATTGTCTTACACATGTACACATATACACACGCGTGCACACAGACTCACAAGTATTTATGTTTGATTATGCTATGAATGCTACAATCTATGATTTTTCAAAGCCTATAACATGTATTTCTGTCATTACAGTTATCTGCCATAATCTTAATGGCTTCACATTAATATAGGAATATACCAAAACTCAAATTCCTACATATGTGTACTTACTCCCATTTATAAAAACTCAGTGAAATCATCAATATGGTGCTCCTCTTTTTGGTATTTTAATCTCATAATCTTAATTTCCAAATACAAGATTTCCAAATCAAAGAGACATATTATCTATATTGACATATACTCCTTTCCCAGAAAAATGCTTCAGAGCTTTCAATAGGGAAAAGCATATAACTATCAATCTCGCCTCAAAAATACATTTGATAAAATTATCAAATTCCCACAAATATGGGAGGCATTCCTTTCATGGGTGTGGGGAATAAGACATAGACCCTATGTGAGAAGTTTTGATAAATACTACAGTAATTAGAAGGCAAACATTTCGAGTTGGGATGGAAATGCAGTTACAAATCACCAATTCAAGGCTGATTAAGAAAATTGTTGGGGCGCCTGGGTGGCTCAGTAATTAAGTGTCTCCTTTGGCTCAGGTCATGGTGCCAGGATCCTGGGATTGAGCCCCACATCAGGCTCCCTGCTTGGCCAGGCAGTCTGCTTCTCCCTCTCCCACTCCCCCTGCTTGCATTCCCTCTGTCTAATAAATAAATAAAATCTTAAAAAAAATTGTTATTGGTAACTACTGGTGACACTTTCAAAGTGTTAACAATAAATTCCTGCCTTAACATTGATAGATAAAAAAGATTAGGTGTGTGAAATGCAGTTAAATCCTAGCTAATGTAAAATCATTTTTCCAGTTTATCCTGTCAGAAAAATTACAAAAGACAGTTCAATATACACTGTATACAATCCTTGGAAAACCAGACAGGGGCCCAGATAAGAACCCAACTTGAGAACAGAGGCTGTGGGAAGAGAAGAACCAACTGTAGTAATTACATTAATGTTGTGGATTTAAGATCAGGTGGTTTTCTACATTTCCACAAATGTTCATTTCCCTGAATTAATTTTATTTTGCAGGTTTCCTCCTCTGGGTCAATTTTCCTATGCTCGTTTAACATACAAGCAGTGAGGACACCTACAAGTGCTAGTCAATGTTAAGGCTGTGTAGATCTTTTAAAAAATTTTATTTAAATTCCAGTTAGTTCACATACAGTGTATTAGTTTCAGGTGTACAATATAGTGATTCAGCAATCCCATATATCACCCAGTGCTCATCATAAGTGCTCTCCTTAATCCCCATCACCTGTGGAATCCATTCTACCCACCCCTCACCCCCCCAAACCACCTCCCCTCTGGTAACAGTTTGTTCTCTATATAGAGTCTGTTCCTTGGTTTGCCTCTCTTCCCCCCTTTGCTCTTTTGTTTTGTTTTTTTAAGATTTATTTATTTATTTGAGAGAGAGCAGAAAAGCAGGGGCGGAGGGAAAAGCAGACTCTCCTGCTGAGCAGGGAGCCTGATGCGGGGCTCGATCCCAGGACCCTGGGTTCATGATCTAAGCCAAAGGCAGACGCTTAACCGAGTCACCCAGGCACCCCATTTGCTTTGTTTCTTAAATCATACAGTGACATCATACAGTATTTGTCAACTTATTTCACTCAGCATAACAATCTCTAGCTCTATGTTGTTGCAAATGGTAAGATTTCATTCTTTTTTATGCTTGAATACTATTCATTGTATATATACACATCTTCTTTATCCATTCATCAGGGGGCGGTGACTTGGGCTCTTTCCATAGTTTGGCTATTGTAAGTAATGCTGTTATAAACACTAGGGTGCGTGTATCCCTTTGTATTAGTATTTTTGTATTATTTGGGTAAATACCTAATAGTACAATCACTAGATCATAGGGTAGTTCTATTTTTAACTGAGGAATCTCCATACTGTTTTCCACAGTGGCTGCACCAGTTTGCATTCCCATCAACAGTGCAGGAGGGTTCCCCTTTCTCCACATCCTCGCCAAAACCGGTTGTTTCTTGTGTTGAGCTTAGCCATTCTGACAGTCATGAGGTGCTATCTCATTGTAATTTTGATTTGTATTTCCCTGACAATAAGTGATGTTGAGCATCTTTTCAATGTGTTTGCTGGCCATCTGGATTTTCTCTGAGAGAAACATCTACTCATGTCTTGTGCCTATTTTTTAATTGGATTATTCATTCTTTGTTGAGTTTTGTAAGTTCTTCATATATTTTGGACATTAGCTCCTTATCAAGTATGTCACTGGCAAATATCTTCACCCATTCAGTAAGGTTGCCTTTTAGTTTTGATTGTCTCCTTTGCTATACAGAAGACTTTATTTTGATATAGTCCCAATAATTTATTTTTGCTTAGTTTCTCTTGCCTCAGGAGACCTATCTAGAAAAAAATAGCTACAGCTGATGTCAGATAAATTACTGCCTCTGCTTTCTTCAAGGACTTTGACGGTTTCAGGTCTCACACCTAGGTCTTTCATCCATTTTGAATTTCTTTTTGTGTATAATGTAAGAAAGTAGTCCAATTTCATTCTTTTGCATGTGGCTGTCCAGTTTTCCCAACACCATTTGTTGAAAAAAATATCTTTTTCCCATAGGATATTCTTTCCTGCTTTGTTGTAGATTAACTGACCATATAATTATGGGGTCATTTCTGGGTTTTCTATTGTTTTATTGACCAATGTGTCTATTTTTGTGCCAGTACCATAACAGTTTTATTTCCTACAGTTTTGTAATATAACTTGAAGTCCAGAATTATGATGCCTCTAGCTTTGAGGGCTGTGTAGACTTAGCAGCAAAGTCCCTGCCCTCATGGAGCTTACATTCTAGTGGGTATCAATTCTGGTATACCCATCCTTATACTTGTGTTAAAGGTCAGACCAAACTCTTTTCCTAAGTACTACTACCTCCTAAGTGATTCTGAAAAAAGACTCACCACACCACTTACAGGGGTTTCTCCACTGTGTTATCTTGTGAAAGCTGAGATATGTTCAATTATTGCTTAAGTACCAACTAAACTAACACAAGTGTTTTCTCTCTTATGAGACTCCGTGATGACAGGAATTCAGGGTTTTACAAAGCATCATTTTGAACATCTTTCTGATGATCCTTTGATGTTCTTACCACTCTTCTTACTTTCATAAAATGTATTGCCACCATGAGTTTTGCGATGATGTGAAAGTTTTGATCGCCAACGGAAGCTCTGACCACACGTCTCACACTTATAAGGTGTCTCCCCCGTGTGAACCCGCTGATGAGATTGCAGCTGCGAAGAGTGGCGGAAGACCTTGCCACACACATCACATTTGTATGGTTTCTCTTCACTGTGAACACTCTGATGAACCTTCAGACTTGAGGCCTGACTGAAGTGCTTACCACACTCCCCACACTTGTAGGGTTTCTCTCCCGTGTGGACCCTCTGATGCATGTCAAGATTCAAGCTCCACTTGAAGCCCTTCCCACACTCCTCACATTTGTATGGCTTTTCCCCAGTGTGGACTTTCTGATGGGCTTGGAGGTGTGAACTGCGACCGAAACTCTTCCCACACTCTTCACATTTGAATGGTTTCTCTCCACTGTGGATTCTCTGATGGGCCAGAAGATTTGCAGCCTGCCTGAATACTTTCCCACACTCCTCGCAATTAAACGGTTTCTCTCCTGTGTGGATTCTGCAATGAATTTTGAGATCTGCTCTACGATTGAATCCCTTCCCACACTCGTCACATTTGTGTGGTTTCTCACCAGTATGGATCAGCTGGTGAATCTGAAGTCGGGAACTCTGATTGAAGCCCTGCCCGCACTCCTCACACTTGTAAGGTTTCTCTACGCTGTGGGTCTTTAGATGGGATTGAAGATATGCTCTCTGACTGAAGTCCTTCCCACATACCTCACATTTATAGGGTCTCTCTCCCGTGTGGACTACCAGATGCACTTGATAACGGGTTTTTGTACCGAAGTTCTTCCCACACTCATCACATTTGTATGGTTTCTCTCCTGTGTGGACTCTCTGATGTGCCTGAAGATTTGAACTCATAGTAAAGCCTTTACCACACACTTTGCATACATATGGTTTCTCTCCAGTATGGATTCTCTGATGGGCCCGAAAATGCGAAGGCTGAATGAAGCCCTTCCCACACTCCTCACACTTATAAGGTTTCTCTCGTGTGTGGCCCTTCTGGTGGATATGAAGATTTGAGCTACAAAAGAAACACTTCCCACACTCCTCACATTTGAACAGTTTCTCTCCTGTGTGGACCATACAATGACTATTAAGCGATGATCTACGTCGGAAATTCTTACCGCATTTATCACATTTGAAGGGTTTCTCCCCAGTGTGGATTCTCTGATGTTCCTGAAGATGGGAAGCATGAATGAAGGCCCTTCCACATTGGTCACAGTTATAAGGTTTCTCCTCCATGTGCAATTTATAATGAACATTAAGTGCTGATCTACGACAGAAGCCATTCCCACACTTCTCACACTTGAACGGCTTCTCCACAGTGTGAACTTTCTGATGAGCTTGCAGACAGGAGCTCTGGCTAAATTCCTTACCACATTCATCACACTTGTAGCGTTTCTCTCCCAGATGAACTCTCTGGTGAATATGAAGTGCTGAACTATAACAGAAGCTTTTTCCACACTCACGACATATATGAGACTTCACTCCTGAGTGTGTTTGTTGATGAAGATCAAGGCTGGAGACATCACTGAAATATTTCTTAAGTTCACTAGACTGATCAGGTTTCTGGCCTGTGTGAGTTACAGACTGTCCTGCCCCAACCTGTCCGGGTGAATCACCTTGTTTGGGGAGCTGAGAACTCTTTATCATGGAGCCCTGACACCTGGTTAAGTCACTTGCAATCTGTTGCCAGATCTGCCAGCAGGAAAGCTCTTCAGATGGTTCTGCTTCTAAAACAGTCTTCATCTTACTTTGGATCTTTCCTCCTGTAGAGACAGAATGCAAAGATATGGACAACTGAAGACTCTGTTGAGTGTTTTCAAGATTTCACATTTAGGTGAGAGCATAAGACTTTAATGAATCCAGAGAATATTCAGTTGGTCTTTTCCACTGTGTATCTTATTCTCTGGTTTACGTGTATATGAAATCCAAGAGGGGGTCCAGTGGGCTTCTATCCACTATGCAAGTACACACCAAGTCTCCTTTTTTTTTTTTTACAGGTTTTATTTATTTATTAGAGAGAGAGAGAGAGAGAGAGAGAAAACAAGCAGGGAGGAGGGGCAGAGGGAGAGGGAGCACCAGGCCGGGGGCCCAGTGTGGGGCTCAATCCCAGGGCCCTGGGATCATGACCTGAACCAAAGGGAGACGCTTAATGACTGAGCCATCCAGGCGCCCCCACACCAAGTCTCCTAAGAGAGGTACAAGTTAGATGTCAAAGACTTAATTCAAAAATTGATAATATGATTCAAACTGTGAACCTAAGGCCATTTCCACTGAATCTGAAAGTCAGTGTAGAATCTTGAATAGTAAATTATGTAGTTAATAAATAATGGAAACAGAAACATTATATAATAAAATATGAATCAACTAGAACTTCAGGAAAAGCAGTAACCATCAAATTTGGGTTTCATGTTATATATCCTAATATCAAATACCTTGAAATACTTATATTTATATATGCAAAGTATTCCTGGAAATTCTGCACATGTTTACCTAATCTTTCTGTTTTGACAGACATTAAATGAGTTGGCTACTATTATACATTTTTGACCACTTCTAATAATTTAAGTTCAGAGATGTGTTTTCTAAAAAGTTTATCCCATTGGTATTCCCAAGTCTCTATATTTATACAAAAGTTATCTGAACACTGGAGATTGTTTTTTCAATAACCTTTTCAATTAGCTTAAAAACTCAACAATAAGGAAAAAAAGAATGTTGTTAAAAAATGAACCAACGACCTTAATATACACCTTACTGAAGAAAATATACAGATGGGCCAATAAAAATATTGATTGTTGGGCCAATAAATCAATAAGTATTGATTTATTGGGCCAATAAAAATACAGATGGTCCACATCTTATGTAATCAGAGAAATGCAAATCCAAACACTGAGATAACCTACACACATATTAGAATGGCCAAAATCCAGAACACCAACACTATCAAATGCCACCAAGATGTGGAGCAACAGGAATTCTCATTCTTTACTGGTAGGAATGCAAAATGGTATAGAGCCACTTTGGAAGAGTTTGGTGTTTCTTTCTTTTCTTTTTTTTTTAGATTTTTATTTATCTGAAAGAGAAAGAGAGTGAACACGAGCAGGGGGAGGGGCAGAGGGAGAAGCAGACTCCCTGCTGAGCAGGGGACCCAATGCTGGGCTCAATCCCAGGACTCCATGATCACGACCTGAGCCAAAGGCAGACACTTAACCAACTGAGCCACACAAAGTGCCCTGAGTTTGGTGGTTTCTTACAAAACTAAACATACTGTTACCATACTCTCCTGGCTATTGCACAATTTGGAATTAACCAAAAGGAACTGAAATTTTAGGCCCATATAGAAAACTATACCCAGATTTTTATAGCAGGTTTATTCATAAGGACAAAACTTGGAAGGAAGCAAGATGTCCTCCAGTAGGTGAAGAGATAAATATTAGCTGTGGTACACCCATACAATGGGATATTATTTGGTGCTAAAAATAAATGATCCATTAAACCAAGAAAAGATACGGAGAAAATGTAAATGCATATTACTTAGTGAAAGAATCCAAACTGAAAAGTATAATTCCTACATTACAACATTCTTGAGAAGGCAAAAGTAGGGACAGAATAAAAAGATCAACAGTTGCTCAGGGTCAGAGGGGAGGGATGAGGTGGAGAACGGGATCTTCGGGGCAGTGTGACTACTCTGTGTGATAAGGGTGGATACCTGGCTTTATCCACTTGTCCACATCATCCATAAAATGTACAACACCGAGAGTACTAATGTAAAGTATAGACTCAGCGATACCAACGTGTCAATACAGAGTCATCAATGTTATCTGGTAGGGGATATGGATGTTAAGATGCTGTGGGTGCATGGGGACAGGAATTATATGGGAGATTTCTGTCCTTTCCTCTCAATTTTGCTATGAACCTAAAACTGCTCTAAAAAAAATAGACTTTGAAAGCACTACTGAATAAAATGTTTACGAAAGAGAAATTCAGACCACCTGAGTGGCTCAGTCAGCTAAGCATCTGTCTTCGGCTCAGGTCATGATCCCAAGGTCCTGGGATCAAGCCTCACGTCAGGTTCACTGCTCAGCAGGAAGCCTGCTCTCCCTCCACCTGCCACTCCCCTTGCTTGTGCACTCCTGTGCTCTCTCTCCCTCTCTCTGTCAAATAAATTTTAAAAAATCTTTGAAAAAAGGAGGAGCTCCTGGGTGGCTCAGTGCGCTAAGCCTCTGCCTTCAGCTCAGGTCATGATCTCAGGGTCCTGGGATCAAGCCCCGCGTCCGGCTCTGCTCATCGGAGAGGCTGCTTCCCCGTCTCTCTCTGCCTGCCTCTCTGCCTACTTGTGCCCCCTGCCCGTCAAATAAATTAATTAAAAAGTCTTTAAAAAAAAAAAAAAGAGAGGAATTCACTCCCCTACCTGTATGAATAGTCAATTAAAAGCTGCCCCCTCTTTCAATCCAGTAGACATGTGGGAAACAGCTTCTATACAGCTATACAAGCCTCAGATCACTTTATTAGAAAGTTACTTCAGTGTCGAGGTATCGAATGTCTAGAATGACTTGCGGGTTTGGGAACAAATACCTAAAGCACACGGACTAAAACAGCATAAAGCAGAGAGCAGAACTTAGTTTCTATAGGCAAGTTTCCTTCATGAGGATAAAAGGGAAATAAAGCTGAACAGAAAACATACATGGCTCTAAAACCTGACAGAAATTCAGATCTCTAGGGAAAATGTGAAAACAAAAGAAATTGAGCCTGGGAGAAGGAAAAGATACGATCACAGCATGAACTCTGAAAGCCAGTCCTGGAGTGGGGAGTTCAATCCTGCCAGAACCCTTCCCAGATAGACATGTGGGTCATTCCTCGTGATTTTGAGGTCTCTGCTCAAAGTGAGCCCAGCAATGAGGCCCTTTATCACCCACTGTAAAATAACTGATCCTGTCCTAAACCCGTTCACCTCCGGGGACTCCCATCCCTACCTGTTTATGTTCCACGCAGCACCTTGCACCATGCTAAGTCATCTGCTGTTCACCACGTCTTTCCCACCATGATGCAGCATCAAGGCGGGGAAGCACGTTACACCTTGTAGGCTGAACACATTTTACACTTTCCTACTTTATAACCAATGTCCAGAATCGTGCCTGGAACATCGTGCATAGTCAAAAAATCCATGCTGAATGACTAAATGAATCCCAGTTTGACCATTCTGGTGAGAGTTTAAGCCAAGTCCTAGAAGGAAAACATCTTTTCCAAGTAAGTTATTTGAAACAGAAAAGGGACAGAACACTGTGGTCTTGCTGAGAAGCTGAAAAGCTGTACAGGGGACATCAAGAGCCAGAGGTACATGAAGCAGGATGCTAATAAGAAAATCAAAGATGGGGGTGTCTGGGTGGCTCAGTCAGTTGGGTATCTGCCTTCAGCTCAGGTCATGATCTCAGTGTCCTAGGATTGGCCCCATATCAGGCTCTCTGCTCAGCAGGAGTCTGCTGCTTCCTCTCTGTGCTCACTCTCTCATGTTAAAAAAAAAAAAAAGAGAGAGAGAGAGAGATGGGAAAAGAAGGGTGGCAAGAATTCCTGGGGTAAAAAGGAAGGAGGGTCTATTGCTGGTTCCTTCTGAAGCTTTAGGAGTGTCTGTCTGATGAAAGAATGTAGAAAAACAGTGCATATATGAATGTGTGGATAAAATTGCCCATCACAATAATTTTTCAAATTAAAAAACTCCAGGATGCCTGGGTGGCTCAGTCCGTTGAACAGCTGCCTTGGGCTCAGGTCATGGTCGGGCTCCTTGCTCAGTGGGGAGCCTGATTCTCCCTCTGCCTGCTGCTCCCCCTGCTTGTACACTCTCTCTCTCTCTGGCAAACAAATAAAATCATTAAAAAAAACAAACAAATTAAAAAACTCCAATATGCCAGTGAGCTGGAAAGATTTAGAAGCTTACAAAAAACTTTCAGAAAAAAGAGCCAGGACAGAAACTATCAAAGCATCACAGCCAATAAGACAAGGGTCATTACAGAAAATGCCTATGAAAGTCACAGGTATGAACTGACATGTGAAATGTTTGTTCTGATTACAATGAAAATCCATTTCTCACTATGGCTCATGTTCAAAAAAACTTGAAAACTTTGGTTCTAGAAGTTTACCCAGTTTTGTTTTGTTTTTTTTCTTAAAGACTGTATTTACTTATTTGACAGAGAGAGACAGTGAGAGAGGGAACACAAGCCAGGGAGTGGGAGGGAGAAGCAGGCCTTCGCCAAGCAGGGAGCCGGATGTGGGGCTCGATCCCAGGACCCTGGGATCATGACCTGAGCCAAAGGCAGACACTTAACAATCGAGCCACCCAGGCATCCCAACCCAGTTTTTAATTACACGACTTGTTCAAATGGAAAGTTAAGTTTCAAGAACAGAATCTTGGAAAAATATTACTTAGGTGAGTATGTACTTTTCTGGTAGGCAGTGCAGTTCATGGTTTCATTTAACAAATCGCCCCTTAAAAAGAGTAGACATGGGGGCGCCTGGGTGGCTCAGTGGTGAAAGCCTCTGCCTTCGGCTCGGGTCAGGATCTCAGGGTCCTGGGATCGAGCCCCGCATCGGGCTCTCTGCTCAGCGGGGAGCCTGCCTCCTCCTCCTGTCTCTCTCTGCCTGCCTCTCTGCCTACTTGTGATCTGTCAAATTAAAAGAAAAAAAAAAAATCTTTAAAAAAAAAAAAAAGAGTAGACATGTGGGGCTTCTGGGTGGCTTGGGCAGTCAAGCAGTTTCAGTTTGTTTCGGTTCAGGTCATGATCATAGGGTTGTGAGATCGAGCCCCACATCAGGTTCCGAGTTTGGCAGGGTGTCTGCTTGGGGATTCTTTCTCTCTCCCCCTCCTACCGCTCATATACATGCTCTCTCAAATAAATAAATCCTGAAAAAAAACAAAACAACAGTAGCTGTGTGAGGGGAACAGGGAGTATCTCTGAGGATGTGATAGCAAGTTTCCTGATTCTCTCTAGGTTAGAATGTTCACCAGTTGAAAAACACCCCATCTTCATAAAAAATCAAGGAAAAACTGTATGACATCTATATTCTTCAACATTTGTTTAATGGCTACATTTGTAGAAAATAAAAGGCACGATATATTTTGAACCAGATGTATAGGCAGTATTTACGTATGTGTCTCCTGTTACTCTCACCTTAAATGTTCCCCCTCGAGGACAGGGAAGGGGAAACCGGGGGTAGTTAACATGGGTGCGGGCTCCAAAGGAGGCAAATGGGCTGAGATGGCAAATCTTCAAGAGGAAGGCAGCTTACAATCTGGCTGACAGTGTCTGACACTATAGCAAACAGATCTTCCTCCTTCTGTGGGGCGATCTGAGAATCAGAATCAGAATTCTCATCCCACAAGTATTCTTCCCAGAAAGGAAAATGCCCCGCAGTGGAAGATTTCAGGGAAGTTGTAGGCAAAGGGTGTTTACTCAGTATGGTCACAACCACAATGCTTGTAAGTTTCTCTGGGACACGGGTCAAGTGCACAGACCCAAACATACATTCACACCAAGGGCACCCCAAGAAAGTGAGTGAAATAGACAGGCATTCAGTAGAAGACAAAAAGTGTTCTGCAACATCCTTCATTCACTCTGGTTTGCACATGACGTACAGCTATCTTCCTGACCCACGGAGACATACAGGTCTCCCATCCATTGACACACTCACCAAGTCAACACGTATTTCCAGACACCTGCCACATACCCATAAAGAGCCTGTGCTCACCCACAGAAATCAGGTTCCTGAAGTTCTCCAGCATCACGTCTCCATACAGCTTCCTCTGGGCAGGGTCCAGCAGCGCCAGCTCCTCCTCCGAGAAGACCACTGCCACATCCTTGAACGTCACCGTCTCCTACAACACCAAACACATGCAACCTCAATCTTGTATCTGGTGGCCACTGGGAGCGGAGCCGCGCTGAGGAGGTGAGGATGGTGAGAAGCGGTTTCAGAATTTGAGGGACTCAAGTCCTTCATAGGCTTCTAGGCCCTTCCCCTTCTACCCTACCAATGCCACACACTGACTTTCCTCAGCCTCACCAAAGAGTGTGGCAATGAAAATGCCCATATGTTTTTTTTTAATTATTTTTATTAACATGTAATGTATTAATTTGCCCCAGGGGTATAGGTCTGTGAATCATCAGGCTTACACATTTCACAGCACTCACCATAGCACATACCCTCCCCAGTGTCCATCCCCCAACCACCCTTTCCCTAACCACCCCAACCCCAGAAACCCTCATTTTGTTTTGTGAGATTGAGTCTCTCATGGTTTGTCTCCCTCCCAATCCTATCTTGTTTCATTTTTTTCTTCCCCACCCCCAAGCCCCTCACCCTGCCTCTCAAATTCCTCATATCAGAGAGATCATGTAACTGTTTTTCTCTGATTGACTTATTTCACTCAGCATAATACCCTCTAGTTCCATCCACATTGTTGCAAATGGCAAGATTTCAAATTTTGATGGCTGCATAGTATTCCATTGTATATATATACCACATCTTCTTTATCTATTCATCTGTTGATGAATGTCTGTATATTTTTGTGTCTTCATGCAGTCTACTTATAAGTAACCACCAAGAGCTCTGAATACACATCCTGGACGACCCATGTTTTGTTTTGTGGTGCCCACTGCCAACCGTCCCAGAAGTATTTTGCAATTTAGCCCAAACATACTTGATTGTACCCACCTTCTTCCTCTCTCACATATGAACCCTGTCCCTTTGCTCTAACATGTGTCAAACTCACAAGCTTTAGGTAACCCTGTAGGACAGCAGTGTGGCTGGCCCTATGTAACATTTGGCACCATGTTCTAGAAACGAAGGCCTCGGTGCGATTCCCGAGGGTGTGTGCTTTACTCTGGACAATTTTGTCCGTGTGCCTGAACTTCTTCTCCGTATGTGGTTCTTCTATGACAGAGTACTTTCCAAGGATTAAACAAGGGAATACCTATAGTCTTCAGAACAGAGTGGGGCACAGAGTTAAGTGCCTAAAAAACATCTGTTATCATTAGTACTATTTCTTCGTGTTGCCAGCATGAGTAATATTTTCATCACAGTGTGTGGCTGCGTTATCCCAGAGAACAGATCCTCTATCCTTACCTGTTCTGCATAAATGGTATTTAGTTTTACGTATTTTTCTCATTATAATCCATCCCACAAAGAACATATACTATGTAGCTTTGTTCCCCCACCTGCTGCCTTGAAAATAATTGCAAGAGAAAATTAAAAGGTCAAAAATAAGCACATTCAAAATTATGATCATATGATGGTAGATTTTCTTCCCAATCTTTTTCCTACTTCCCTAATCTTTCAAGAGAATACGACAACCAGGGTTCTCCATACAATGGTCAAGAGCAGGTTATATAATCTTCTATGGTTTTGGCAATCTGATTTGGAAGAACAATCTGTATTAGTATTCCCACTTATTTGACCGTAAATTAATAGAACTACCTTTTCAGGGGAGCCTGGATGGCTCAATCAGTTAAGCGTCTGCCTTGGGCTCAGGTCATGATCTCAGAATTATGGGATCAAGTCCCGCATTGGGCTCCCTGCTCAGCAGGGAGTCTGCTTCTCCCCTACCCTCCCTTCCCACTCCCACACTTGCTCTCTCTCAAATAAAAAATCTTAAAGGAAAAAAAAACAAACCTACCCTTTTCAGGTGTTTATTCGTATTTCTCATTTTTAACATGGCTGTGCATGTCCTTCTTTGCAGGCCATTGGGTTTTTTCCCTTAACCATATGCATAAGTTGCCCATGAAGGGCTTTGTCTCCTTTTTGGCATCACTGTGGTAAATATTTTTGCCCCAGGTTATTGTTCCCGGTAATTGCACATAAGGTGTCTTTTGCCAGAGAGGAATTTAAAGATTTTTATACAGTGCCTATGCTAATGGCTGTCTTTGTGTCTGTAGCTTTGAGCAGGTCAGTGAAGGAAAGCGACCACAGGAGGAGAGATACCCTGAGACAGGGGTCAGGGAGCAGCAACACCGGAGGAGATGATCTCTCAGAAGAGTGGTCCAGGGATGCCTGGGTGGCTCAGTCGGTTAAGCATCTGCCTTCGGCTCAGGTCATGATCCCAGGGTCCAGGTATCCAGTCCCACACTGGGCTCCTCACTCGGTGGGGAGCCAGCTTCTCCCTCTGCCTGCTGCATCCCCTGCTTGTGCCCTTGCTCTCTCTCTGACAAATAAATAAAATCTTAAAAAAAAAAAAAGGAAGAAGAAGAAGGAGAGTTGGGGTGCCTGGGTGGCTCGGTGGGTTAAGCCTCTGCCTTCAGTTCTGGTCATGATCTCAGGGTCCTGGGATCGAGCCCCACATTGGGCTCTCTGCTCAGCAGGGAACCTGCTTCCTCCTCTCTCTCTGCCTGCCTCTCTGCCTACTTGTGATCTCTATCTGTCAAATAAATAAATAAAAATAAAAAAAAAAAATGAACCCTCTAGACACACCATAGGGCTGAGGGCCCGAAATGAACTCTCTCTGTCTTCCTGTCTATCTCTTTCACTTGAGCAGGATGCCTCACATTCCTGGCCTGGGCTTCTTGTGTGAATCTGAGGGGGTCTCTCATATTCACATGCTTAAGAAAAATTAAGACTGACGCCTCCTTCCTTGGCTGCTCGGAGGGGCCGAGCACAGAGTGCAAGTCACCGGCCGATACCAGGACCAAGGCTCGGGGAAGACAGAGTCCAGCTCTCCCTGTGTACAAACCTCCTGCAGTATTTGTGTGAAGTAGCACCTCCAGCCTGCTCTGCTCTGCCTGCAGCAGGATAGTCCACCTAAAATATAGCCTACGTGGCACATATCAAATGTGAGGACAAAAAGGTGGCCGAGTGTTTTCAGAGTTGACGTGAGAGGACAAGGTTTTATGCAGAAAGAGACTGCAGTGCAGCTTAAGACAGTAAAATCCCTAAACCATGGACATGTCTCTGAGTGGGAAGGAGCTCAAGATAGAAAGGTACATCGATTCGATGAGAATGGGATACAACCATAAAAAATGAGCATGACATAACATGAAAGGGGAAAAAAAATCAGTACTTAAAATTAGGTGTAGGTTATGAATATAAATTCAGTTATGAACGCCCACAAGGAAAAAGTAGGAGAAAATGAAAACAGCTCATCTGTTAGTCGGGAAGTAATGAAGTGGGGGAACTGTTCGTTTCTAGTCATTTTTTCACTCTGTAAAATAAGTAAGAATACAGCAAAACCCAAAAATACATATGAAGTAAATTCAAAAGGCACAAAGTAAGACCCTGATGGAAAATAGGTCCTCAAAGGCCTTTTGCTCTGCTCGAGTCATCCCCAGAAAAAGGTGATGACCTGAGTAATAAGATGGAATCAGGAAAGTCTTGAGAAAGGAAGCCCTACTCACCCTGACCATGGTCATGTGTCCTCCTACTTCTGGGCGCGTGCAGAGTCCTGCGTTGCACAGATCCCAGGAAGACAGAGCTGCACCTCGCGGGGTGCCTAGGAAGGCAGGAAAAAGGCATTAAACGTAGCCCAGGATGGTGCTCATCTACAGGGATGATGGTTTTGAGTTCATACTCGAATGTTCAGAGCGCCATTATTCATTAATAACCCTCGAGCGGGAAACCACCGAAACGCAGACCTATGACCTATGCACGAATGAACAAATTGTGGCAAATCCACACAATGGAATATTAGTGGCCAATTAAAAGGAAGGGGTGCGGATCACGCTACAGCATGATGAACCTTGTGAACACTGCTGAAAGTGAAAGACGCCAGTCACAAAAGGTGAGATACTGTAGGATTCTCTTTATATAAAATGTCCAGAAGAGGGAAATCTATGGAGACAAAAGCAGGTTAGTGGTTGCCGGGGTAACAGGGGTGAAAATGGGGGGTTAACTAAAAATGGGCTTGAGGAATGGGGAAACAAAAATGGTCGAAACTGAATTATAGCAATGGCTGCACCACTCAGGAGAGTTACTAAAAATCACTGATTCAAGGGGTTCGCCTGGGTGGCTCAGTCAGTTAAGTGCCTGCCTTCGGCTCAGGTCATGATCCCAGGGTCCTAGGATCGAGTCCCACATCCGGCTCCCTGCCCTGTGGGGAGTCTGCTTCTCCCTCCCCCTCCTCCCCACCAGCTGCTCGCTCGCTCTCTCTCTCAAATAAATAAATAAATCTTTAAAAAAAAAATCATTGATTCATGCAATTAAAATGGGTGAATTCTAGGATATGTACAATATACCCCAAGTATATTGGTAAAAATAAATGTTTGTTCATCTACATGTTATTTAAATTAGCAAAACTTTGAATGAATGAGTGAATAAGTATGGGGGAAGGGGAAGCTTGTCCTCACAGCAGGATGTCCACTAACAAGTGTATCTTCCCATAAGAAGGCTTCATTAATTGAATAGTAAATTCACAATGGAGAAACCTAATAGAAATCACCTTAGCTAGTCAACAAAGCTGAGTTCGCCCAAACCTAGACAAACCAACAGCCTTTGGCTCCTGTTACGTTGCAATGACAAGGATGCCTCAACGCTTCTGTGGAATCCCTGCCAACGACGTATGACAGGACCTAAACATGTACACGTCAGACAAACCCCAAATGAAGAACTTACTCCAAAATGACTTCCCTCTATACTCTTTAAAAGCATCAAGAACTGGCACCTGGGTGACTCAGTCAGTTGGGTGTCCGAGCGCTGATTTCGGCTCAGGTCATGATCTCAAGGGTCATGGGACTGAGTCCCTTGCCGGGCTCTACACTGAGTGCACAGTCTGCTTGAGATTCTCTCCCTCTCCCTCTGCCCCTTCCCCCACTTGCACTCTCCCCCTCTCTAAGTAAAGAAATAAAATCTACAAAATAAGTAAATAAATACAAATAAAAGCATCAAGCACAGGGGCACCTGTGTCAGTCAGTACAGCAGGTGACTCTTGATCCTGGGGTCATGAATTCAGGCCCCACACTGGGCATAGAGCTTACCCAGAAAAAAAAAGTAAAAAAAAAAAAAAAAAAGGCATCAACGAAGACGGCTATGGAATGCATTCCACATTAAGGGACATAACGATGATAAAAGTTTTGTAAAATGTTTATAAACAAATATACAGCTTAAGGCAATGCATAAAATTGGACTTTGAACTGAGATGGGTTAGGGGAGACTGGTTATAAGGCCTTTAAATGAAAAACAGAACAAAATTAACTACAAGACCGTGGATTACATAAACAGGATGCTATATAATGCTTTCCAGGATTATCTAATAGCTAACACTATTAAATACTATTAGTGATAACTTACTAGATAGCTAATATTTAATAGATAACACTATTATGTAGCATAATATCTAATATTACTGATTAACTGGTGCTAGAATTCTATAATCAGCTTCTCCTAAATCCCTCTTCCCAAGATACCTCCTGATATCCGTATGCGGGGCTTCCTTCCTTCAGAAAGCTAGAATAAGGGGCACGTGGGTGGCTCAGTGGGTTAAGCCTCTGCCTTCAGCTCAGGTCATGATCTCAGGGTCCTGGGATGGAGCCCTGCACTGGGCTCTCTGCTCAGCGGGGAGCCTGCTTCCTCCTCTCTCTGCCTACTTGTGATCTCTGTCTGTCAAATAAATAAAATCTTAAAAAAAGAAAAAGGAAAAGAAAGCTAGAATAAGCTGTCATTGAATTCCAGGTATATTCCTGATGTTATGTGGCTGATGGAGCCACAAAACAGGCAAAATGTAAACAATTGGGGAATTTGGGTAAAGAGTATATGAGAAATCCTTACACTACTTTTGCAACTTTTCAATGGAAAAAATTTGAATTATATAAAAACAAAGTCTTACATTATCAGGAAACAGCCATAGGAATAACAGGAATAATAGGAATAATAAAGAGGATTAGAAAATTATATGGAAGGGGCGCCTGGGTGGCTCAGTGGATTAAAGCCTCTGCCTTCGGCTCAGGTCATGATCCCAGGGTTCTGGGATCGAGCCCCGCATCGGGCTCTCTACTCAGCCGGGAGCCTGCTTCCTCCTCTCTCTCTGCCTGCTTCTCTGCCTACTCGTGATCTCTGTCTGTCAAATAAATAAATAAAATCTTAAAAAAAAAAAAAAAAAAAAGAAAATTATATGGAAACTCATTAGTTTATTCTTTCTTGGTAGTGTTTAAAAATTTCCATAGTTAGGGGCTCCTGGCTGGCTTAGTTGATAGAGCATGTAACTCTTCATCTTGGGGTTGCAAGTTTGAGCCCCACACTGGGTAGAGATTACTTAGAAATAAAATCTTAAGGGATGCCTGGGTGGCTCAGTCAGTTAAGTGGCAGACTCTTGATTTCAGCTCTGGTCAAGATCTCAGGGTCCTGGGATCAAGCCCTGCATAAGGCTTCATGCTCAGCAGGGCGTCTGCTTAAAATTCTCTGCTTCTTGGGGCGCTTGGGTGGCTCGGTGGGTTAAAGCCTCTGCCTTCGGCTCGGGTCATGATCCCAGGGTCCTGGGATCAAGCCCCGCATCGGGCTCTCTGCTCGGCGGGGAGCTTGCTTCCTCCTCTCTCTCTCTGCCTGCCTCTCTGCTTACTTGTGATTTCTGTCTGTCAAATAAATAAATAAAATCTTTAAAAAAAAATTCTCTCCTTCTCCCTCTGCTCCATCCCCTGCATGAGGATGCGCGCTCAGGTACACACTCTCTCTCAAATAAATAAATAATAAATATTTTTTTAAAAATAAAGAGTGTGGGGGGATGGGGTAACTGGATGATGGGTATCAAGGAGGGCACATGTTGGGATGAACACTGGCTGTTATACGCAGCTAATGAATTGTTGAACACTACAACAAAAACTTGTGATGTACTATTTGCTGACTAACTGAACATAATAAAAAAATAAGTTAAGAAAAGAAATTATAATAAAAAGGTAATAAAGAATAAAATAAGATCTTAAAAAAGTTTTCCATCATTAAAATACGCCAGGGGAAAAACACAAAGAAATATGTGATAATTTCGTA